TGAACCAAACCAAATAGTTTTTTCTTTTTTTTTTTTTTCGGAATTTCTGTGGGCCAGCACAGGGCTTCCTGACAGCCTGGGTGGGTCCCTGGACTGCAGACTCCTTAAGAAAGGGTAAAAGCACAGGCGAGCTGGTGAAGAACTTCCATCGTAAACCGGAGACACGGCAAAATAAAAAAAAAAAAAAATAAAAAACGGACAAAACAACAACAAGTGTTGTTTTGTTCTTTTTTTTTTTTTTTTTTTTTTTGCCGTGTCTCCGGTTTACGATGGAAGCCTCCTTAACCCGTACCTTGATCCGTCCCTGAGCAGAGAGCTTCTCGGGGATCTTCGCTATTTGCGGTGAGAAGCTCGCTAGGGGTGCGTTTGCTTTCTTCAATATGGGTACTGCACGTGCTACCCACGCGGTCATGCTTTATTTTTCATAGTGAATAGAAGCTTGGCATGGCACGTGCTTGTAGACGCAGAGGAAGTTTTAGTATCCTCACTCTGTGTTGTGAAAAACTTCCACCAGGCGGCGATACCCAAAGTTCTCGCCAGGAATACTTCGTGTCACCTTTGCATGGACTATTGTTACGTGCATGCTAAAAGCGCGAGCTGTTTGCTCTGAATGAATCCTCGGGGGCTGCACGAGCGCTGGTGCAGCGAGTGCTTTAGTCAAGGCAGGCAAAGCTACCCGCTCGTGCTTCCACAGCCTTCGCAGTAAATCCAAGCTAAGGTGTAGCATCTCTCTCTCTCTCGTCAGTTTAATAAAATCAGTTTATAACCTCCGTATCATTTAGTGGAGATTCATATATTTCTCCTGCACCTCTGCAGAACAAGACCTGGAACTTCGAAACCGCCGCCTTGCTCCCCCTATCGGAATGCCTAAAGACGCTTGTGGGCAACCTGGCGATTCCAAGCGGTTGGCCCAGGCTGCCCCTCCGACAATCATAAGTGGTCATCTTGGCCACGAGGGGGCCAAGGGCAACTGGCCACGCGAGCGGCGCTCCGCCGCTGATAAAAGGCCGTCGCAGCGGATGCGCGGGGGCTGTTGGGATCGCGGCGCAGGCGATAGCGGTCATTAAATGTTTACGTGTTGTTGAACCGGTGTGCTGTGTCATTCTCCGAGACGGGTAGCAGCAAGGGAAATCCCACACTGGCGCCCAGACGTGATATGCTGCTCGTCTGGGAGGATGGCAGCAAACTGGGTTCGTTCTTACGTTTTACATAGTCAATTTTGCGTTCCTGAGTTTGCCCAAAGTTGAGGGGGCGTTTCTTCGGAAGCCCACGTTCATCGAACTGCGCAAGTCTCCACTACAACATGATGCCGTCTACAGAGGACGCCGACAGAAACGTGAGTGAGGACGACCTTTTGACGCTCGGTGCACTCGCGGATAACGCCGCCAGTGACATAAAACCAGACGCTAAGCCTGCAGTCTTAGTCCCGGTAGACGCATCATTAGAGGGTGGTCTGGCAGAACTAAGAGTGGCCATGACCATGCTTCTTAACATACAACGAGAGCAGATGATGCGCTCAAGACCCACTCCTGCTGGAAGTACGCCCCCCAGGGACTTCCTAAGGCTCTCACTTAGCGTTCCGGTTTTTTCGGGGTACGCAGATAGAAAGTCAGTTGCGATGTTCGTCTCGGAACTGCGGGACTACCAAGCTGCGTTGGGAATTGACGACGAATCCATCCTCACCCGCCTTTTGCCGGTTGCACTGACAGACAGTGCAGCACTGTGGAGGCAAAGACAAACTAAATTCACAAGTATGTCAGATTTTGAGGCACGATTTAGGATGGAGTTCCTGCCTCCGGATTACAGCGTGCGGATAAAGGACGAGCTGCGCGCGCGCACACAGCACCCGGAAGAGTCACTTATTGAGTTTGTAAGGGCTCTCCAGGGCCTGTACGATATCGCCGACGCCGCGGCACTGGACGCGGAGAAAGTACAACGCGCCATCCGCCAAAGCCACCCGCGTTTCCATCCCCATCTCAGGGGACGTACCTTTACGAATTTAGACGAGATGGCACGGGAGGCAATCACCATCCAGGCCGACATCCTCGCGGAACTAAGATACCGACCCCCTCCACCGCAGAACATGACTCTGGAACCATCATTTGCGTGGTCTGGAAACGCACGTGCACATAGAGTCGAGAGAGAACAAGACGATTCCAATCAGGCGCCCGTCCCCCGAACCCCAGATCCTTGTGCATACGAATCACGAACCCTAGATCCTCGTGCATACGAATCACGGAGGTGCAGCGGTTACGAAGGCACGCAATCACAACGCTACAGCCCCTCCATTGGTCAAGATGAGTTCTTGTCCTCTGGACCGGTAACGCGGAGCTCGGGAGAGGCAAAAGAGAGCGGGACACCGCACGAAGCCGACGGGCGGGTCACGCCCCGTTGTTTTCGATGCGACCAGCCAGGACACATACACCGGGACTGCAGCGAACGGCAGCGGCCGCCTCAGACACAGGGAAACGGCTACGGCCGGCGGTGGTAAGAAATTTCTACTCTCCGCCGGCCGCGTCAAAAACACAATCCACGAGATCGAGTCGCCGCAGCCGCCTCCGGGCCTCCCGGAGGCTCACACGGGCTCCGGGGACTGACGCTTTTCTATCGACCCTCGGTGGCCCTCCATCACTTTTTCTTCCTCATAACACTCCTCGTTGTGAGACTCCCGGCGTGTCCGATTTTCCATGGACACCCGGGCGCCCAGCTCACACCGTTCGCGGTGTTGAGACTCCCGGCGTGTCTGCTCGTGCATCGACAACCGGGCGGCCAGCTCACAACACTTTCCGTCATGAGACTCCCGGCGTGTCCGCGTTCGCGTCGACAACCGGGCGCTCAGCTCATACCGTTCGCGGTCTTGAGACTCCCGGCGTGTCTGCTCTCGCATCGACAACTGGGCGGCCAGCTCATAACACTTCCACTCTTCGTCGTGAGACTCCCGGCGTGTCGGCTTTCACACCGACACCCGGGCGCCCAGCTCACACCGTTCGCGGTCTTGAGACTCCCGGCGTGCCTGCTGTTGCAGTGACACCCGGGCGGCCAGCTCACAACATTCTCCGTCATGAGACTCCCGGCGTGTCGGCTTTCACACCGACACCCGGGCGCCCAGCTCACACCGTTCGCGGTCTTGAGACTCCCGGCGTGTCTCCTATTGCACACACATCCGGGCGGCTAGCTCATAACACTCTTCGCCGTGAGACTCCCGGCGTGTCGGCTTTCACACCGACACCCGGGCGCCCAGCTCACACCGTTCGCGGTCTTGAGACTCCCGGCGTGCCTGCTGTTGCAGTGACACCCGGGCGGCCAGCTCACAAAATTCTCGGTCATGAGACTCCCGGCGCGTCTGCCTTTGCACTGATCCCCGGGCGTACAGCTTCCACTGTTCCCGGTCCTACGCTACCCGAAGCAACTGCATTTGAGTTGGACCCTAATGCGATTCCCTTTCAGCCAAAGGCCGGCACGATCCCCAGCGTCAGAGCCGCTTTGAAGTTCTCAACACCAAGGATGGTCGCTCTGGATGGCCGGCCGCTAATGGACTCGCACGAGCCGACGGGGGTAGGAACAACCTCACTAAACGAGGAACCGACATTGCTCATCCCAGCTGTGAGTAGAATCGAATCTACACCCAAGTCTCTTGAACCTCGTATGACTGTGAATGTACTAGGTATGCCAGTAGCCGCTCTTTTAGGTACTGGAGCAAACATATCGCTTATTGGGGATGCAGTATTTGCGGAATGTAACAAGAGAAAGATACATCTTCGGTCAGCAAACGTGAAATTGCAAGTAGCATCGGGGTCCGTACTGCCTGCTGCCGGCGCAGTCAGGTTACGAATTTCCTTTCATGGTAGAAAACGAAGACAACGGTTCGTATACCTCCCAGAACTGCCGGTGCCCATGATCCTTGGTAGAGATTTTATTGCAGCGGAGCGGGTTTTGCTCGACTTTGCCCAGGCTGGATATTGGTTGGGTGGCGAAACGAAATTAACGCCGTTTACCAGACGGCAGGATTGTATTCGCGGCCAAGCGTTCCCGTTAAACTTTGCCGGGCAGATGCCTTTACTTCCAGACAGCGTGCTCAAAGCCGTGCAAAAGTGTTCCGGTGAAGACAAACAGAAGCAGCTCCAGCAACTGCTGGAACCCTTCTCGCCGATGTTCACGGAAAGACCTGGGAAAACCGATCTCCTACAGCACCGCATCGAAACCAAGGATGCACCTCCCCGGAGGTGCAATCCGAGACCCATAAGTGCTCACAAGCGCGAACTTCTTGATGCGGCGCTATTGGAAATGATCGACACAGGCGCAGTACGTCAGTCAAAAAGCCCGTGGGCTTCCCCGGTAGTCCTTGCTCCAAAGAAGGACGGCACAGCAAGGCTTTGTGTTGATTACAGGCGCCTAAATGAAGTGTCAGTCAGAGACAGTTACCCGTTTCCTAGTATTTCCTCAGTAATGTATGCCCTTGGAAACGCGACTGTTTTCACAACCCTCGATTGCAGCCGCGGATTTCTTCAAATCGAAGTTCATCCGGCTGATGTAAAGAAGACCGCATTCATTTGCCATAGGGGGTTGTTCGAATTCACTCGCCTTCCCTTTGGTTTGTCCAACTCTCCCGCCAGCTTTCAACGCCTAATGGACGTTGTCCTCGGTGACGCGAAGTACGAGTTTGCGATGGCGTACATGGATGACGTAGTGGTCTTTTCACGAACATTCGAGGAGCATCTCGTGCACCTTCAGATCATACTCGAACGAATGCGTCAAGCCGCCTTACGATTCATCCAGATAAAGTCCAGTTGGCATCGCCTGTAATCAACCTTCTCGGATTTGTTGTGGATAACGGAACGCTGCGGCCGAATGAAGATAAGCTGCGCGCAATAACGGAGTACCCACCCCCTTATGACGTCAAAAGCCTAGAGAGATATCTCGGGATGATTGCGTTTTATAGAGATTTTATTCCGCAATGCGCTGAGATAACTGAACCCCTGAACCGATTGCTCCGCAAAAATACGAAATGGTGCTGGGGGCAAGAGCAGCAAACCGCATTCGCGTGTCTTTCAAGGGCTGTGACTGAAAACGCGTGTTTAAACCTGCCCGACTTGAATCGTCCGTTCGTCTTGCAGACCGACGCAAGCGATTACGGATTAGGAGCAGTCCTTCTGCAGGAACATGACAGCGTTCTTCGTCCCGTAGCTTTCGCCAGTCATACGTTAACCGGAGCGGAGCGAAACTACTCAACGACCGAAAAAGAGTGCCTGGCAATTATTTTTGCGCTTAAGAAGTTTGACATGTACCTTGACGGCGCTTCGTTTAGCATTCAAACTGACCACATGGCTCTCTCGTGGCTCAAAGGGCTTCAAAACCCTGCAGGACGACTCGCTCGATGGGCCCTTTCGCTCCAGCGCTACAAATACACAATCGAGTACAAGCGTGGAGTGGCTAACCACGTTGCAGATGCGTTGTCCCGTGCTCCACTTCTCGGGCAGGAAATGCAGGTGGATCCCGACTTGGTGGCACTGGCCAATGCGGCGCCCATCACACCAGAGTCGCGGTGGGGAACCCTGGTGAGCAGAGAGGAGCTCCGAGCGGCCCAGCTGTCCGATGGACTTTGTCAGAAGGTGATGCACCAGCTGGCAGAAGAAAACTCAGCCGACGCTGGGAATCCCAGAGACTTGGACTCATACCTGCTCAGCAGCGACGGCATCCTGCTGCGATACATCCCCCAGGCGGACGATGGGTCCAGCGGCCCGCCATTCCGGTCTGTAATACCACGTAAACTGCGTAAGTCATTTATAAGATATATGCATGATCCCGCCTTGGCAGGCCACAGCAGTGGGAGCAAAACTTACGAAAAGTTGTCCCAAATTGCAACGTGGCCAGGTATGAGGCAGGATGTGATGAGGTACGCTCGTAGCTGCCCGGTTTGTCAGAAGGCAAAACCCCGAGGTGGCCAACCACCAGGTTTAATGCAGTCGGTCGAGAGCAAGTACCCCTGGGAGTGTGTTGCCTGCGACGTTGTCGGTCCCTTTCCCCGTAGTCCACGCGGCAATCAGTATTTGCTAGTAGTGACCGACCATTTCACAAAATGGGTCGAAATGTTTCCTTTGCGCAAACTAGACTCTAAGAAAATCTGGGACTGTCTTCTCGAGACGTTCGCGCGCTTTGGCTTTGCCGCAACGCTTATTACAGACAACGCTTCTTATTTTGTTAGCAAGGTGTTCGTGGATGCGTGTAAGGCGCTAGGCATACGGCACAAACGGACTTCGCCTATACCATCCACAGGCGAATATCACGGAAAGAGTGAACCGTAACCTGAAGCAGATGCTTGTATCGCATACAGAGCGACACAAAGACTGGGACGCGAAATTAGCAGAAATGGCATTCGCTACCCGCACAACAATCAACCGGTCCACGGGTTTTACTCCGGCCCAACTTAACTTTGGAAAAGAGCTCGTGTTTCCCCTGGGAAACGGCCTCCTTTGCACAGATCCTGCAAGCACGCAGCGCACAACCACGCAGTTCGCAGAAGATCTCCGGAAGCGTTTCACGGAGAACCTGCGTGAAGCTCGAGAGAGCCTCGACGTCTCGAGACTGCAGCAGGCAAACCAGTACAACAAGGGGAGGCGAAATCTGCAGTTCAAGGTAGGAGATCTGGTACTGAGGCGAACTCATCCGCTGAGTGATGCTGCTAGAGGCTTCACGGCCTCTTTAGCAAAGAGGTGGGATGGCCCCTACCGTGTTAGTAGCAAGCTCTCCAACCTGTCTTATGAGCTGGTGCATTGTGAATCTGGTGAAGTGTGCGGGTCTATTCATGTCGCCGACCTAAAAGCTTTCTATGAACCCGAGGAGGTAGATGTGTCGCAGGTTCCAGATGACTACTATCCGGACCACCTCTCGGAAGATTCCACACCGTCTCTACCGCGGTACAACTTGAGACGGCGGTGAAGACGACCGGGAGTAGCACGAGTTCTAAGCGCATTATCTTCATGCCCTCTTCGTTGTTTTAGGGGGGAGAAGAGAAATGGCCCGCGCTCCCGCATGCACAGTGGGACAGGCATCTTTCGTGTGCGCGGCTACTTTTTCCTACCGCGCCATGGCCTCATGTTGTTTTTAATTTCTAGTTCCTCGTGCCAGACAGCGGCGACGCAGCTCCCATCATCAGACCACCCCCCATGGCTGCATCGGTACTGTCCGGAAGTACTGACGTCGGACCCGTGCTCGCTCATCTGAGAAGACCCTTGCTGACCAAGAAGGAAGGCCCCCCCGAAGACCATCAAAGACGTCCTCTGTTTTCGTTTTTGGAAGGGGGGAGATGTGTGGGCAACCTGGCGATTCCAAGCGGTTGGCCCAGGCTGCCCCTCCGACAATCATAAGTGGTCATCTTGGCCACGAGGGGGCCAAGGGCAACTGGCCACGCGAGCGGCGCTCCGCCGCTGATAAAAGGCCGTCGCAGCGGATGCGCGGGGGCTGTTGGGATCGCGGCGCAGGCGATAGCGGTCATTAAATGTTTACGTGTTGTTGAACCGGTGTGCTGTGTCATTCTCCGAGACGGGTAGCAGCAAGGGAAATCCCACACGCTCCACCACAAACCCCATCGCCACTGATCATCTCCCATCCGCGAGACCCTGGTAATTTCATTGGCACAGGGGATCAGGACGTAGAAGAATTGGTACTTTTGTACGAGCGCATCAGCTTCCCCAACAGATGCCCCCCCCCCCCCCCCCCCCACTATCATGCACGCCAACATAATATTTTACATTAAAGATGCAGCACAGACCTTGTTTTTGACCCACGAAAAAACGCTCGCGTCGTGGGACATGTGCAAAAGAGCAACTACGACACCTCTTCGGCGATCCCACAGGCCGCAAGTTATCGGCAAAACACAAACTAGCTTCGCGCGTCCGGACCTCGACCAAGTCATGTATGGCGTACGTACAAGACATCTTGTCGTTATGTCATAAAGTTGACGCCTCCATGACCGGCTCCAAGCGAATTTCGCGCGTTCTGAAGGGCATCGCCAGGGACGCTTTTCAGCTCCTTGTTTTAATGGGCTGTACGACCATGGAGGGCCTCGTAAAAGAATGTCGGTGATTTGAAGATATCAAAAAGTGTCGGATAACATCCACTTTTATCCGACTCCCTAATACCACGGCTGTTCCAACATGTGTGGCGAAACTCCAACTTCAGAACAAATAGCAACAATAGTCCGCCGTGAGCTACAAGCCGTCGTCCCACCCACCATGCTTTGTCACCCGACCGAAGACACACAGCCCCACTACATCAAGGGTCCAAGCTGCGATTCTCCAAGAAATAGGCCAACTTCACGTTCCAACACCATCACGTCGAACCTGGCCTTTCCACGATCGTCCAACTATAAATCCGGGAGCTGTGAAGCTCAATCTCCGCCACGAGAACCAGCGACATGGAGGACGCCAGACGACCCTCCAATCTACTTCCACTGTTGCACCGCTGGTCACATCGCCTGTCACTGCCGTAATCGATAGAACAATCGACCACGTACTTTTTCGTCTATGAACTACCGTCGCTCCTTCGTTGATTGATTCGCTCCGCCAATTTCAACTGGTCCTGCTCCAAACGACGGATTTTCTGCCCTGCCCCCGATGCTGCCAGTCACTGTCACCTACCCCTCGCCGCCTGTTGTCGCCGGCCCCTGACCGCCGCAACTCGGAAGACTAAGTATACGGGGCTTCAAGATGTAAAGCTGCATCATCGTCACTACACTCAAACACTCTTAACGCCATCAGCTGGTTATGTGCGGCTGCCACCGCACATAACCAGCTGCCTATTAGAATTGATGGCGTCCTTATATGTGCCCTTGTGGACACGGGAGCCGCTATTTCTATTATGAGAGAAGACTTGAAACGCCAATTACGCACACCTTTGACCCCACCCAACTCAAAACTTCCGATCAGTGCAGATGGCCGCGCTACAAGTTGAATTGAATTGAATGGAAGTTTATTTGACATATGAAATGGCGGGGAGGGAGGAGCAAAAGGTTGCCGAAGCTACCTGACGAGGCTCCATTCCCCTTTTCGGCGCTACAGCAGTCGCAGCAGCAGTGTAGATGTAATACATAGAAAATTCAAGCTGAAAATATTTTCACAGAAACTGTTTTGACATAAATTAAACACAAACAAAACACAAATTAAACACAAACTAAACACAAACCAGACACAAACTGGGATGATTTGCCTTAAATCGATTCATAAATGAATGCATAAAATAGTATCATCTGAATCTGGAGAGCATGAAGCAGCGGCCCAATATTTAAGCCGAGAGCGTAAAAATGTACTCTTTTATTTCCTTTTTAAAGCTCCGCAAAGAAGAACAGCAATTTATAAAATCTAATACTTCTGACAATTTGTTTAAATATTCCGGAATCAAAAAGCTCAATTTCTGTGACCCGTAATTTGTGCGAACTCTCTCCTGAAGGAATAACTCATGCCGTAAATTATATGTCGTAATTTTCCTTGGATATATATCTATAAACGAGGACCCGCCGTTTTTTATCTCTTCCCTTGGCATTTGTGGCGCGCTTATCACTCTTCGTCATCAGACGACTTTTCTTCTTTTTACGGTCATCTTAAGCTGTCCACATCCTTTGGTCCTCGGCTGGGATATTCTTTCCACTCATTCTACCTTGATAGACTGTGCGAAAAGAGAAATAGAACTTGGCGTTGCTGCTCTTACAGACCCACTACAACCACTGATGTCCAAACTGTGTTCTATTGACAACCGTCCTTGTTAAGGTCGCACCAAATAGTTTTACACCTGACGGAGATTATATTGCGTCTCCTAGTGTCGACGTATTCCCCACAAATGAATTGACCATCCCACGTGCCCTTGTATCTTTTCGACTGGCACGACCTACCTCCTGGTGAATAAATTCAACCAAATCCCTCAACTATTCCCCAGTGGCACTTCCCTCGTCGAGCTTCTCTCTAAATTCCCCGATATATTTGACCTCAGCAGTCGCCCTCTAGGCCAAACCACGGCGACTACACATCACATTGGTACAGGTACCCACCCTCCTCTGCATCGTCGTCCATATCGGGTGTCTATTAGCGAACGCCGAATCATACAAGAAGAAGTTGATAAGATGCTGGTGCAAGATGTTATACAACCTTCCTCCACAATCGTTTTTGTCAAAGACAGAAAAAAAGATGGTACCTGGCGTTTTGGTGTAGACTACAGTCGACTCAACACGATCACGAAAAGAGATGTGTACCCACTACCAGGTATTGGTGGTACACTGTTAGCAAAAATAACACGCCCAGACGTGTAAACCGTTGTCCCATAGCGGACACGTCGAAACGTGTTCGTTTTACACGAGGCCATCTGTGTTTTTCGTCTACACATGAAGTGCTGTGTAAACTTAACACGCTACACCGTGTCTGCCTTCCGCAAAACCGTTTCGAGCGTGTTCCTTATGAAACATGGCGGCCAGCGGCCGAGAACAGGCGAGAGACGAGCCCAGCGAGCCACGCGCCTTTCAGCCGAATTGAAAGCACACAGGGCGCGTTAGTTCTCGTTCGATGTCTTTTATACACAGTAAAGTCTCCAAGCGGTGGACGTAGCTACTTGCAAAGGTACGTGCGTGCGTTGTCGGCGGTCGGCGGCGTCGGTAGCTTCAAAAAGCCTATGGACAAAAAAAAAAAAAAAAAAAAAAAAAACGAATGCCGAATTTACATGGATACATAACTTAAGCAAACTATTTAGAGTCGGGCGGTAACTTGCGCCACCTATCGAGATTTCTAGCAGCCTGTTTTTTAAAAAAAAAAAGACGAGCCTGTTAACGCTGCGAACGACCACGACTACACACACGCTACACAGCAACCCTACATACGGCGCAGGCAACACAGCACACAGCTACACAGCACCGACATGTACACAAACACAACAACCAACACCACTACGCCCGACACTTCCTAGTCGATATCCGTTTCTCCCCGTGGCGCATATAAGCTTGACATGTGCGGGTGAGCTCTTCGGTCGCTGACCATTACAGATTTATAGAAGAATGCACAAAACACGGCGCAATGGACAGCCGTGTGTTAGAACTGTTTGCATTTAAAAAGTATGGAGGCAAAATCTATAATGTTAGTCCGTTGCAATAAATAACGATATGTTAACAATAAATCTTAAACCCGTCATGAAAAAGTTCCAATTTTTGTTATTTTCTTGCTTGACCAGTGTTATGAGCAGTCCGACTAGCTTGAATCAGATAGGAAAACAAATTATTGGGATTTGGTCATTACGTATACAATAATAAATAAAAATGATCCTAGCGCAAAGCATTTTTTATATATTTTTGTGAAGGACATCCGGACATACGCCCAACACTTCACTTCCGCTAGTTGCAGCAGTTGCAGTACGGGAGCAGACGCCTTCACTTTTGGGGCGTCTTGATACAGTTTGTTGTCGTTTGTCGTGTCGGTGTCGAGAAGAGCGGTGGGGCTTGGGAGTTTGTGACCGGTGTTATTCGTGAACACTGGTGTGGGACGCTGATGCGTCTTTTTTTTATACTGCCACCACCCCGAACTTTGAAGATACACGGGCCCGTAGCAGTGCATTATGCTGAATCGCGAGCTCTTTCTCTGTTGACGTCGCTTTCCTGGTACCACTCGTGGATACTGCAAGCGTTTAAACAGCGTGCACCGTCTCGCCTACATCCCCGGTGACGTACTCGACCTGTTGAAACTTGTTGCTTCCGTCATTTTAGAGTACGCAAGGCAGTTATCTCGTTGGTCTGGTTTCGGTTATAAAAGCAAGGCAAAACGCTCGTAGTTCCCGCCCTCAGTACACGTTGGACATCTTCCAGACTTTGACACCGGATAACTGAATGAACGAGGATTTACATTCACTTCCGAGGTTACTCTCGCCGCTTCCTCACCGTTGAGCAGCAGGATGAGCTGGCGACAAGCCGCGGATGAAAGGCTTGAGCATCAACAGCCCAAGCGCACTCGGTGCCGATGCGGGCGACGCGGGTTTCTGTCAACCGGGAGGCCAGCACAAACCGTGACCATTCCAGCTCTTCGTCATGACACGGTGTTGCAGAGACCAGGGTAAAATACAGCTACGGATCACCGAAGCAAACGACTGCTATCTCAACTCTTGGCTTGTGATTGCGCCTTTGTAGTAGATCATCTTATTCGTTTTGCTGGAGAGACGCAAACGACGGGCATAACAAAATCGCTTGCATATTCCGCATATCTCAAAAAAGCATTTACCCTGCCACCTTGCGAAAAGCGCAAAACACGGAGTCCGCACCGTCCTAAGCTTCCCGTTTTTTACCTGCTTTAGAACAGTTTGTACCTGCTAGTAGATATGCCTACTGAAACTGAAACAGGGCAGTGCCAGAGAGAAAGAGACAAAGTTGAAAAAGCTTGCTCGCTCTCCAATTTCTCAACTCTCAAGTGATTGTACCATAATAAATGCACCAACGCGTCTTCCAAAACAAAGAAAGAGCACTATGTTCACAACATAAAAAATGGTCTCA